TCAGAAGAAGAAGCAAGGTAAAAGTGCGAAAACTGTGGGTTCAGAGGGTTGATTTGGTGTTTGGTGCGAATTTTGGGCGCTGTTCGGCGACGGGGGGGGCATTTTGTACTATCATTGCGTCCTTAGTTCCGGTTTACAAGTCTCGCTCTGGCGAAACCTGTGAACTCTTGTGAAGCTGGAGCAAGGTCATCAAGCCATCATGTTAGAAACCTGTCAACTCGAGAAGAGGCTGTCTAGATAGGTCGACACGTCGATGGGAAGTAGCAAAAGTGCAAAATGCCCCTCCCCATCGCCAAACTGCGCCGCATTTTGTATATGTAAAAAGCTCACCACATCAGCGCACGACGGACCGCATTCCACTTCTTCGAGCTTTACTGGTATATTTCTTGTCTCAATATCCCTCAAGATACTTTGAGCCTCTGCCATTTCCGGTAGATCAGAGTTCGCTATCTGAAACTTCTCAGAGTGAGAAAAAAATGACTGATAGAGAATCGGCATTCAGCTGAGAGCTGTTGTGGTGTAATGGTTTATGTTCCTACAATTAGGAATACACGAATTGATGCTTACATCTCTCAGGATGCCATCGCTTGTTCTCAGATACGCTCCAAGGTTCTGAGTCACTTGTGATAGGGAATAGGAAAGACCGTCATCGCCCGTGTAACTCAAATGCTTGTCGGCCAGCACCATTGCTCTCACAACCCTGAAAAATTGGAGTTATTGGGAATGCAGAAGCTCTTTGGCTGGTTGAGGGATTCACATTGCGATTACACGGAGAAAGAGGTAAAGGGAATGGCTAAGCGTGTGCGGCATCCGCACTATAAGCAGTGATTTCTCGTGAAACCTGTACAGGGGGGGGGGAATAAAAAAGTCGAGTCACATATCAGTAAAGTTTACGCAGCCCAGACAGAAGACGTGGATACGAGTACCAGGGCGGAAGATACCCAAGATGTTCCTCGATAAGCAGGAGCAGGCTCTCGTCCCTCACCTTCATGTACACCAAAATATGAAGCATCTCCAATCGCAGCCGAACTGAAAAAGGCCTATGGAATTCACGTCACCTCCAAACAGCTGCGAAACTTCTTGTATCGAGTCACCCATGGACAGCTACCTGA